ATGTCAGCAAAGCTTGCCAGGCCTGAGCTCAGAATTAAACTTTGGGGACTTGTAATGTTCATCTCGCTGAAGAGTCAAGTGTTAGAAACTCCTAAATTCATATGCAGTTAAGATTAAAATCCATGCTGGAAAAAAATCTCCAGTTCACCTGCTTTCCATCCAGCTACTTCTAATCTGCCTCAGTCAGCAGATGCCCTGCCAGATCTCTCCTGTCTGCACAAAACTATGAAAGGCGGCGGGGGGGGGGGTGTCCTTTGATCCTTGCTAGCCTGGAAGCTGATCTGTTTGGCCTGGGGAAACCCCAGCAAGGCTACTCCTCGCTACTTGAAACTGTTAAAAGCAGCAGGCTTGCAAGTCTATTTGGCTTGATGGGTGCACCCCCCCCCAAAAAAAACACTTCCACACCCACCCACCCATCCAGGAGGATAGGCTTCCAGCTATAGTTCCCCCACCCAATATAGCTTCATTAAATCTCTTATTAAATATAATGATGTCACTCTGTAAGTTTAAATAAGGCTGATATCCTATACCCACTTACCTATTGAAGCTCTATTGAAGTAAATGAAACTGACTTCTAAGTGGTCAAGTACAAGATTTGACTGTAAGAGGATGTAGAAGGGCAGCATGTCCGAGAATTACTGATGCGTGAGGAGCTCAATGGAAGACACTGGGGCAAGAGAGACATCTAAGAGGGTGGAATTCCTGCTATCAGTGGTTTTGAGAATGCTGCCTGTTTACCTCAGATGTTTCATGCTGTCACACAAAGCTGTCATTTGATGGCCAGGGATCCTCAGTGGTTCTCCCTGGCTGTCAAACTGAGAGGAGGCAAGGTCAAATTCAGATCGCTTCAGAAATTAGATGAGCCATTTGACCTTGCCGAATTTCAAGAAGTAAGAAATCTGGACACAAAAGTTGTTGATCTTTTTCAGGGGAATTTTGTGTAGGCCCATCAAAATGTTTGTCCTACAATTGCAATAGTTTGTGGTCAAATTCTTACAACTACCATTGATGTTTGCTTATGTATTTAACATTGATGTTTTGTAATGTGTTTCTAATGTTGAAGAAGAAGAAGAAGAAGAAGAAGAAGAAGAAGAGGAGGAGGAGGAGGAGGAGGAGGAGTTGGAGTTTGGATTTGATATCCTGCTTTATCACTACCCGAAGGAATCTCAAAGCGGCTGACATTCTCCTTTCCCTTCCTTCCCCATGACAAACACTCTGTGAGGTGAGTGGGGCTGAGAGACTTCAGAGAAGTGTGACTAGCCCAAGGTCACCCAGCAGCTGCATGTGGAGGAGCGGAGACGCGAACCCGGTTCACCAGATTAGGAGTCTACCACTCTTAACCACTACACCACACTGGCTCTGATATATAATAATATATCACTGCCCTGATATAATAATAATAATAATAATAATAATAATAATAATAATAATAATAATAATAATAATGATGATGGTGATGATGATGATGTATTGTCTGCACCTATGCAATATCAAATTCTCAAAATAAATGTTTATCTTAATGCAGCTTCACATAATGAAAACTGATGTGTTCCACTGAAAAGTTGATCACTATGATCATATAAAGATGTCACGATCCCACAGGAATGCCTATCACCGAGTACAGGATTCTTGGCTCCCAAGGCAAGGGAAGAGTCATACACAGAGATAGTACTCTTGCTGCTGTGGCCAAAGAAGGCTCCAGAACAACTGGCTGAGTTTTATGGCAAGTCTAGGTAGTTATTGACTGGAGGCCCCACCCCTTGAGTGTTACCTTCCAGCCAGTTAAAGGGTTAGTGCCTATTTCTACATTTGTTGGCTCTTTGGGGATAATGATGTTTCCAGCTGTTGGGATGTGTCCTTGGGTTTTCTTGATCCCCTGAGGGGGGGGAACCTTTCAAGTGGCTGGGATGATTGAGCCCACTTTCATTCTTATTTGTCAACTGCAATGTATTGTAGCACTGGAGTTCTGCCAGTTGGGTAGTGGTTGTTTTAACCACAAAGTAATTCAATTAATTTTAACTGAGTAAACCAGATGGTATTGAATCTAAGTGGGATCATAAAAGGCAGTGTTGAGCAAATATTATGTAGAATAGAGGTCTTCATTTCTCTTTGAAATGCCTGAAGATTTAATTGCTGTGGCTCGTTTTTTAAATGGAGTGTTTAGATAAAAATGAGAGGAAGAGGCTGTTTTGTTCTGTTTCCTGTAATATAAATAAGTGAAGAAAAGGGGAACAGGAGAATATCACCTGGGCACCACAGTTCAAGAAGGACACTGACAAACTGGAACGTGTCCAGAGGAGGGCAACCAAAATGGTCAAAGGCCTGGAAACGATGCCTTATGAGGAACGGCTAAGGGAGCTGGGCATGTTTAGCCTGGAGACGAGGAGGTTAAGGGGTGATATGATAGCCATGTTCAAATATATAAAAGGATGTCATATAGAGGAGGGAGAAAGGTTCTTTTCTGCTGCTCCAGAGAAGTGGACACGGAGCAATGGATTCAAACTACAAGAAAGAAGATTCCACCTAAACATTAGGAAGAACTTCCTGACAGTAAGAGCTGTTCGACAGTGGAATTTGCTGCCAAGGAGTGTGGTGGAGTCTCCTTCTTTGGAGGCCTTTAAGCAGAGGCTTGACAACCATATGTCAGGAGTGCTCTGATGGTGTTTCCTGCTTGGCAGGGGGTTGGACTCGATGGCCCTTGTGGTCTATTCCAACTCTATGATTCTATGATTTGTCCTTCACCTGTAGGCAACAAATTGTAGGGTGGGACAGCCAAGATGACAAAGGGCATGTAGGTCCAAAAGACAGTACCATGGCCTTAAGGATGGACTTGTGGAAACAAAAGCCTTGCTAAAATACCTTATTGTCCACCTGAACTCCAGTACTACCAATCAACCAAAGGGAAATTTGCACAGATGCACATTAGGGAAGGAGTTCTTTAGATAACCCTGTGACTCTTTTTAACCAGGTTTGCAAAGATCTTTAGCATTTCTAACCATTCTAACAATTAATAACCATGGTTGGCTGCTGTGAGAACTGGATGCTGGACTAGATGGGCCTTTGGCCACACCCAGGAGGCCTTTTCTTTTGTTCTATTCATGCTATTATTCAGGTCTGACTCCATGTTTGGGTAAGCTTCTCTCAAAGGGCTCTTCTAGAGGTATTGTGCCCCACACCAGCAGTGCTCATCCCACACCACTTAAAAATTGCCAGGTAAGTTCCCTGCCTATTCAAATAGAACTAGTGTTGAGTGGAGCTCTGGGTTTGCATGGGGTACTTAATAGCATGCCCTCCAACAGTGAAGTGAGGGAAACTGGAACACAACCTCAACAGAGACCATGCCCCCTCTCATTCTGGTCTCATTCCTCTTTGCATGCCTGACCCTTCCCTCCCTTCCTCGCACCTTCACCCACTGCCTTTGCTTTCAACCTCCACCTCCGTGGCCTCCATGGCTGCCACCACACTTCCAGATGCTGCTGCCACTTCCACAAGTGTGGTGCTGGCTTCCAGATGTACGTCGGCTGGAAAGCCATGGCAGAAGGGGGAAGAAGAGTGGTGACGTATGGGGCAAGTTCAGTTTTGCTTTTGTTGTTTTTGTTTGTTTGTTTTTTGTCCCATGCTCTGGTGTGAACCAATTGACTCACACCACAGGGTGGAATGAAAAAACTCCCTCTAGAACACGGGAGCCAAAATGGGACATCTGGGATTGGGACTGGCTTCTGTAAATTTGGAATGTTCCGCTTAAAATGGAACACAGTATGCAAGAGCGCTGCCATCTGAATTATCCCAGATCTGCTGCAACATATGTAAGTTAGGCTGAGGCCAGAGTAATTCAGATGGTGGCACTGTGGAACCAGAGTATATACACCCACTGATATGGTTTGCTTTCAAAATACCCAGCTCTTTTTGGGCATTTACTTAATTAAAAAAATGCCAACTAAAATCTGCAAGGCCACAAATACTGTAGGTAATGGTGTTATTGTTAAGCATAAGAAATCTCTTTATGACAAAGCACCTTGCAGCACCAGGTATAGAATGCCTTCACTACATAAATCCACATCTCCTTAATCCTAAAAGTCTGCAGAGTGATAAAACTGTTATCATTTGTTAAACTAGGGGGAAAGGATTTTCAAAAGCTCCTAAGTGACTTAAGGGGCATGGCTGGGTCCCTAAATCATAATAAACCTTTAAAAAGCGTATTCATCATGGTAAATGCATTTCAGGGCAATAATTTCTCAGTGGGAAGCAGTCATATTTACCTGTCAATCAGCAAACAGGATCTGACGTTGTTAGTAGTTCATGTGCTCTTGAACTATTTCTTGAAATAGGAATCAATTGAGGGTTAACTACCTGAGACTTGGGACGCGGGTGGCGCTGTGGGTAAAAGCCTCAGCGCCTAGGGCTTGCCGATCGAAAGGTTGGCGGTTCGAATCCCCGCGGCGGGGTGCGCTCCAGTTGCTCGGTCCCAGCGCCTGCCAACCTAGCAGTTCGAAAGCACCTCCGGGTGCAAGTAGATAAATAGGGACCGCTTAGTGGCGGGAAGGTAAACGGCGTTTCCGTGTGCTGCGCTGGCTCGCCAGATGCGGCTTCGTCACGCTGGCCACGTGACCCGGAAGTGTCTCCGGACAGCGCTGGCCCCCGGCCTCTTAAGTGAGATGGGCGCACAACCCTAGAGTCTGTCAAGACTGGCCCGTACGGGCAGGGGTACCTTTACCTTTACCTTTTACCTGAGACTTGTAATATTTATTGTTATGTTACTGCTTCAGAAGACATAATGATATGTTTTGCTTTGAATTCATTGCTTTAAATTCATGGCTGTAGAAATCACCCAAGGGAATTTGAAGATGGTATACACATATACACCCATACAAAACGTTTCCATGTTTCCCTATCTGAATATTTTGAATTAATGTTTAGGGATCTTGTCTTGAAACAGCTATACTTTAATTAAAAAGATCTGGATACAAAAACATGGAAAGCTTGTGTGTGTGTGTGTGTGTTTGTGTGAGACATCATGTCTTGTCTGGAAACACAAAACCTTACCTTGCTTTCATTCATTTACCATCAGTGCTATGCCAAACCCTGTCCTCCAAGTTCTCTAAAGTTTTCTTCCCCTGTGAAAGAGGCTTCTATTTTTCTTGCTCATGCTCAGGGTACCTGAAAATGTAGTTACAATTTATTTAGAAATCCTGATCATTGCAAGCAGCTGAGGGGTGTAGATGTTTTCTGTCCTGGGTACATTTCTCTAGCACTCTGCAGCCTCCCTGCGCCCTGAACCAAAAAAAAATCCCCCTGGGAAGAATTATGATTAACGTTTTCAAATGCTTTGCAAATGTTAAGTGGTTCTACTAGAAATAGTAGAAACACCCCCCCCATCGAATTATTTATGTTGAGTTAAATACAGTAGTGACTGTTCACTGATAGAAGGGGATCAGTCAGCAGAACAGAGCGTGAGACTATTTTCCTCCTTGCAGTGGCCCCCGTAAATCTGCTCCAGAGGATTGGGAGACTCCAGAATGACTTCTCTCCCTTATCTGCTGATGGATTCCTCTCCACCAGCAGATAGTGACCACTGGATCCCACCCTTTATTATTTCTTTATTACAAGTATTTTCATACTGCTCTTCAATTGGACGAGTTTACAATTTCCAAAAATAACAACAAACACATAATGACACCCCCCCTCTTGTCACTTATATTGGAATTCTAGGGATAATACAAAGAACAGCAGCTTCACTGTTTCAGATTTCATTGTTTTGTCTGCCTGAAAATAATAAGGATACTAGAAGAAAAATCCAGGATATTTAAAAACTGGTGTGGCTGCAATGATGCATTAGGAAGCAATAAAATGGAAGCAGATAACCTGTTTGTTGAGCATCCGTCCTGATTTCTTGGCACAAAGTTTGCAGGCAGGTTAGACAACAACAGTTTTTATTGAGCATTTATTCTGGTTTGATTATGGATGGAATAAGGTTAGATAACATTGCATGATCAAACAATTGTTACCACACTTTCCAGTGCTTTTTCCTTCTTGCAAAAAGTCCACTTGTGACGGATGTTTGTTGCACAACAGTGCCAAATCAACTTTAATTACCTAACCTGAATTTGGTAGGCTGTGATTAAAAATAGCAACAGTGCCTCACTTTTCATTTGCAGTCAGACTCTACCTTGTTCCGTTTGCCCAGCAATCAAGCTAGCAATAGTGGACACCAAGGGAATAATGCTATAAGGGTGCTTTGTGGAAGGCTATTCCTGTTATTCTGTTGGGGTTGTGGTGCTGAAACCATGTGTATGCAGCCTGATGCTAAACCGATGTCCTTGGAGATAAACTCCATTCAGATTGAAATGGGATTACTTACAAAGAAATGTATTCAGGATTGCACCCATGGGCGCACCTCACTTCCTTTTGCCCCTGCACAATAATACAGGGAGCTGCCAATTCTAAATATAACTTCACTTTGAGTTGCATTTCTCCTGCAAGATGAGAGACCACTTTTACCCTTCCTAAGCTTCACATTGTTATTGATTTATCTATTTTTTTGCTGTGCATGAGCTCTTAGCAGAAAGCAGCAACTCAGCTGATCTGCTCACTGGAGATGCTTGACATGCTCCGAAAGTGCTTCTGTTGATGCTGAGCGATCGGAAAATAAATCAAAGCCAATCCCTTTAATTTAGCCATACTAATCTGAAAACAGTAGTAAGGCCTTTGCGAACAACTTTGCCTACATCACTTTAAACAGTGTTGACAAGTTCCAGTTCCAGTGAAATGGAACCTCCCCTTCATTCTCCTCTTTTTCTCTCCAACGAAAGCAAGATAAAACATGGATGCTTTTGATGCCCTTCTTTTCAAAGGAATGAGTACTTTACCTCCAGCCATTCGTCTGCAGAATTCTGTACAGCAGTCCCAAGACTGGCAACACCGAGGCTGTTGTTAGAAAGGGATGTAAGCTTTGCAGGTAGCTCCTCTTTGACAGAAGCTCAGCGGATGGTCAGCCAGATGCCTGCAGGAAGCCTAGAAGCAGGACATGAACGTGTGATTTCTGGGAACTGGTTTTCAGAGGCCTCTAGCAGCAGAGGTAGCACAGAACTATCGTGGCTAGTAGCTTTATACTTCGTCAATTTGTCGGACTCCCTTGTAAAGCCATCCGAGTTAGTGGCCATCACTACATCCCGTGAGAGCAAATGCCATAGTTCAATTATGTGCTGTGTGAAAAAAATGCTTCTTTCCCCCCCGAATCTTCTGCCATTTAGCTCAAAATACTAGTAATATGAGAGAGGGAGAAAAAATGTGCTCTTTCTGCTTTTCCCACAAAATGCGCAATCTGATTCACCTCTACCATGTCTCTACCGTGCTTGTTTTCTCCCCTAAAAAACAACACACAACATCATCTCAAATGTTGTAATCTTTCCTCATGGGGAACTGATCCAATTCAGAATAGATTACCTACAAGGCTCCCCCTCCAACTGTTATGATTCTATGTGATGTTGCTTTTTCATTAGTAGGATATAGTGACAAGATACCGTATTTTTTGCTCTATAAGACTCACTTTTTCCCTCCTAAAAAGTAAGGGGAAATGTGTGTGCGTCTTATGGAGCAAATGCAGGCTGCGAAGCTATCCCAGAAGCCAGAACAGCAAGAGGGATTGCTGCTTTCACTGCGCAGCGATCCTTCTTGCTGTTCTGAGATTCAGAATATTTTTTTTCTTGTTTTCCTCCTCCAAAAACTAGGTGCGTCTTGTGGTCTGGTGCGTCTTATAGAGCAAAAAATATGGTATATAGAAAAATGAACTTAGAAAAATGAAGGGTGAGTAGAATAGAATGACTTGTTGCTACAGAGAATTCCTCCTAGAGGCATCAAATACCAGGATACCTCAGGTTGACAGGCAAGGAAATGCCAGGCCTTAACTTGGCTTTCTTGTGGAGAGCCACCACTGCAGTACAAATTAAAGAAGCTTTCCTATCCTATTGGTAAAACCTTGAAATGGCAGCTAGAATTAAATCCCTTATTTTCACAGGAATGTCACAGTTTGGACATGGCAAAAAAAATATAAATGCATCTGGCCAACTGAATGCTGAGCAGCTCAAAAGAATTGCCACTTTCTTTCACGGGCTGCTTTCTCATCAGATTTAGGCATTCAGTGACCTTGGCAGCCTTACAGCGGGAATCTTCTTAGGGGGGCTGAATCAGGGTTTCTGCAATTTCCTTAAAGCTTAGACATAAATACACTTGGCTGCTTCATCATTAGATGCACAGATTTGTGTCAGTTTCCTCTCCTCTTTCCCACTGAATAAGCGGCTGTTCAAGATTGGGGAGGGGGGGAGGGAGTTACTCCAGCTGCTTGGTTTCTGTCAACCCTCCTAAAGAATACCAAGATGGAAGGCACAAAACAGTTGTTCATTTCATTTTTTAAAGAAAGATTTCAGAACCAGCAACGGGAAGTGACTTTTCTGTGTGAGAATCCTTCCCTTTTGGCAGTGGACCAGGTTGATCTCATACGACCATGCAGATAAGGCATGTTTTCCCTCACTGAAGAATGTTCAGTAATAAGACGGGTGGGGGAGGGAGAGAAGCAATTGCCGTGTTTATACTTTAAATACTGGATTTTCCATACTTGATTAAAACATTGGTTTGACTCCAGCCTCTTCCTTCAGGCAATAGTTTCTGGAATGAGACAAATCCCACCAGGCAAATGTAACAGATTGCTATAACCAGGACCTATTTTTTCTGGCCATACCTACATGAACAAGTTAAAACTGAATTAAAGCACAATCTTAAACATGTCTAATCAGAAGAAAGTAAAATTGAATCTAATGGGACTTACATAGAAGCAAGTGTGTATAGGACTGCATCCTCAATCATCCCTACTTCTCAAGGAGCCCTGCAAACAGGAACAAGAGGGGGTGGCTTAGAGATCCAATACTAGCCTTTCCCAACTGCTTCTCTTCTGTTGGTCACTGAACAACATCTCACATCATCTCCGTTCATTGGCCATGTTGGCTGGGACTGATTGGAGCTAGAATTGAACAACATCTGGAGAGGACAATGTTGGGGAAGACTTTCATAGAGCCCTTGATGAGGCTGCTTAGAATTCCTTCTGAAGGAACTTTCACTCACTCCTATTATGGCATATTAGGGAGCAAAGAGCTGGCAGGTGACAGCAGGGGCAAAGCTTCTGGAACACAAAATCAGATTTCAAATATTTACTCTCTCAACTTAACTTCCTTGTGCTAAAACACTTCTAGTGTGTCATCATTACACCGTATTGTTTTATTTTTTTTGGTGTGTAAAATACACACATCTCCCACAAGGAGGTCATTATTAGAAATGAATTAACATACAAGAAGCAGAACATGTTGTATTACAATGCAAAATATTTACTATGGTGATGATGTGATTTGGCACACCAGAAGGCTAGAGAATGAACAAACAGAAAGAAGTCAAGTAGTGATCCAGAACGAAGTTGTAATGAACTCCAGAAGGCCTGGTACTCAATCATATTTTATATTGCAGCCAGTGGCTTTCCCTTTCTGTTTCTAACATTACTGGAACAACGGCATGTGGAATTTGAACTATTAAAGAACTGCTTAATAATCACTAAAGTTACCTGTATGATTGTGGCGAAGTCTAACAATGCCAGGAACAGACATAGTTTGTAACCAGCTGAAAGTGAGCAAAAATATCATCTTAAGGATGTTCCTTCCCAGAAATTCAGTTTACTATCTGAGGCCCTGTTCCAGATTTCATGGCTGTATGAGGCCTGCAGGTACCAACATGGAAAGGGCATTTTTGATAGTAATGCTCTCTCTGTGAAATGCCTTCCCAGAGGAGATCTACCAATCCCTGACACTTTGGAAGGCATTCAGTTAAACTTTAGTCTGAATAAACCCACTGAAATGATTGGGCATGACTAAGTTTGGTCCATAAATTTCAATAGGCCTACATATTGAATGCCACTTGTTACATTTTTAGCTCAAACCAGGTTGTTTATTAAGGTCTTCAGCTAAAGAACTTTTATTTTCTCATGATGTTAATGATGTTTTCCTTGCTGTGTTTGCTTGATTGTATGAGTTGTTTTTGTCTTCAATATGTTATTATTTTTTGGTTGTTTTGGTTTAATATAATTTGTGATTTCGGTCTTAACATTTGTATATTTGATTGTTGTAAGCTGCTTTTGAGTTTCCTTTTGGGGGGAAATAGTAGGATATAAAATTCTATAAGGCAACCTATGGGAAAAAAAATGAGAACATTGGGATCACCAAGCAGGAACCATCCCTTCTTTTAGAAACTGTATTGTTTAGGCAGATCTTCACAATATTAATTTCTGTTTTTAACCAGCCAGTACTTACTCATGTTATACTGATGTTTTTGATTATGTTTCAATGGATATTTTTACTGTTTTAATATATTTCATTTGTTGTGGTACTGCCTCATTCTTCCAGTATTCTCCTTCACCTCTGTGTCCCTTTCAAGGAGCAAAAAGCAACTCCCTACCTCATGAAAAAATGGGTATGGGGCAGGGGTTGGTACTCAGAGGTTTCATGGGCACCAGGGAAAGTCCTCACGGGTGCCACATTGGTGACCCCAGTTTTAGATAGGAGATAAAGTTTAGGAAGACATGTTCCCTGACATACTTTCCTTGTTTTCTTTTCTCTTCCTTCCACCCTGTTCACCACTATGTGAACTTTTTCCTCAATAATTTCTTGCTATTGTCTCCTAGTCTATTCTGAAAGGAGCAATTTTACTCAAGAGATTTCTGGCAGGAGAAAAAGGAAGACAAAAGTCCTCGTTGAAGGTTTTAGACAACAAATAAAAGGTTGAACAAGAAGGTAATTAAAGAAAAACACTAAATGCTTTTCATTCTGCAAGGGGTTTGGGGGGAGGGGGGAGATAGTGGAAAAGATAAAGAGTCTCCAAATCCCAGTTTAATTTTTCTTGTCATGTTGGCAAATCCAGCCCTCACGAACAGACAAAATGTTCCTACTTCTCTTTCTTTGTGTGTAGATGTTCAATTTTCTTTCCACCATGCTCCATATAAAAGTTTAAACATTGGGAATAGAGTGACCAGTTATGCATTGCTAAAAAAGAGCAGGTTTGCCTCAGCAGGTAAAAAAGAGAACCAAAGAGAGCTCCAATTTGTACAATATTTGCATATGGCAATTTGTCTGCAGAGCTGCAAATTTAGAAAAAGTACCATAATTTGAATAGAAGTATTTAATTATATAGATGTATATAGAAATGAAGTAAGGAGTGAAGAGACACCAGGTGACTTATGTGTTGGCTTGATCTGCTGCCCAGATGCTGTTAACTATGGATGGTAAGCTTCAAGGCTCCTGCTCTCCCTTCTTAAGTGTTCCTTATGTTTAAATCAGACTTGAACTGGAGAGCTTTCAAATAGGCTGTTCTCTGTTAAGTAGGAACCATCGTCACCACAGATAGAAAATAAAGGCAAGATGAAAAGGGATTGTTTCCCTCATCAGTGGTGAGAGTGTTGTACTAGGGCCTGGGAAACCAGGGTTCAATTCTCCACTTGCCCAGGAAGCTGACCTTGGACCAGTCACTACCTCTCAGACACACCTGCCTCATGGAGATGTTGTGGGGATTAGATGAGGAGCAGGAGAACTATGTAAGCCACCATGAGGGAAAAGGTGGGATATAAATGCAAGCAAGCAAGCAAGCAAGCAAGCAAGAAAGAAAGAAAGAAGGAGACAAGCGGCTTCTCCTCTTCCTGCACTCTCTCACCAGTGGTGCAATTTTCACACACTCCTGGGTCTGTGCCCTTGGTGGGAGCCAACCTTACCAATGATTCTCAGAGAGGAGGTTGTGGCCATTGTGGTTTTCCTGCTGGAGTTGCACTGCTGTGAGCTAAGCTGTGGTTTGCCTATGGCTGTGTTCATACTCCTGCTTACTAGGTACTCGCTGAGTTTTCATTACTGGGTTTTTGTGTTCACACAATGTTATCCAATATATATATGTATCCTCTACTAGTATTTGATGCAGTGTTTCTTAAGCCAGTGTCACATCCTAATTCTCCTTTAATAAGGTTTGAACACATTTGCATAGGATACAGATACCCCCGCCCTGCCAACAACTCCTGGTCTGACACTAATGAAGCTCTGCTAATGTGAACAGCTGAGAGTGGGGAAAGGCATGAAACCCAACAACTTAACTGTGCTCTAAGGCAGTAATGTGAACACACCCTTACTGTGGCATCTAAACCTGGGCTTGTGGCATATCTCTTCCACATTTTTTCTCTCTGAGTCAACACTGGTACCATTGGGCAGCATTCAACTAAGTTTTACTCATAGCAGGGCTATTTAAATTAAGGAACTTAACTATTTAGTATAATTAATTTCACTGTGCAAAACTTGGCTAACTACTGTCCTTTATATGCTAGCCATCTTGTGCTTCCAGACAATTTGGTATTTTAGCTGGTTGCCATAAAGGAGTTTGGTGACCATGCAGAGCAGGATGACGGTCTAGATGAGCCTCTGATATGATCAAACAGGGCTCTTCTTGTGCAGTTTACGGCAGGTCAGCACAGGCTTGAGACTGATCTAACAGTGTAGACCAAACCACATCCTATTAGTTCTAAACATCCCCACTCCAATCCCTTGTGACTGGATACATTATTCTTCTATACCAACTTGCTCCCTCTCTCCTCTTTTCCAAACTTCCCACCCTTCTGCATACACTAAAGGAATAAAAGCCGTGGACAATTTGCCATCTCTTAAGAACTAATGCAAATAAAAAGGAGAGAAACCCAACTCCAGGATGTTGCTCTTACCATTCTTGACACAAGAACCCATTCAGAATTTGCTTGCACTGGCTGGACCATACTTTCCTTGTGGATATACTATTGCAGTTGTGACTGAGAATCTTTTAACACAGTTCTTTCCCATGAAGTCAATGCACACACACTCACTCAGTATAAACAGTCCCTCTTGGCAGTATTGTACTCTGGTCTGTGTTTGTGTAACCCTCATCAAGCTTGCTCCCTGCCTCTCCGTTCCCTAAGGGGGTAAGAATTCAGAGTGAATCAATCTCTCTTTTATCTCCATACATTTCTAGAAAGATCAAAGCTTCATTATCAGTAGAATATAAATGCCACAACATTATAAATCCGGCGCATCAAGATGGAACATGTCATCTTCTCACCATTAAAAAAGTGTTCTTTCTTTTCTTTTCTTTTTTTAAAAAAGAAGGATGCAGCATTTTGGTAACATTTGAGAGCATGCCTTAAAAATGATCCCACATTTTTCAATCTACCTTCTGCTTCAGTGGCAACACAAACAACTGCCCATTTGGCTTTACCAGTTTTAAAAGTAAGCTTATCCCTCGATCTTCTTCTATTCTTAACCTTCAAACGTTGAAGTTATCTCCCCTGCCACTGCTCCCAATCCCTTTCCAGGGGAAAACACGAGGGGTGGGTGTGGCAGCCAAGCCTCTTTCAACATCTTCATAAATTATTATAGTACCAGAGTGGGGTTCAGGGGCCATGGTGAAAATGCAGAGGATGTGGGCCTGTCCGTAAAAAATAAGAAGATAAGATCTGGGTTTTTTTTAAAAAAAAGGTTAGTCTGTGGGAGCGAGAAAGCAATGTGGTTTTAATTTAAGTCTGGGAATCAGATTTAACTGTGGAGATGACAGCGCTTGAAGCTCTGCAGTCTTTGCAGGAGACCCAAACAGCTGGTTATCTGAGTGCAAGGAGCCAGCACTCAGCTGGCGCATGTTGCTTTCATTCATTTGAAGCCAATGCAGTTAAGCAAATTCAAAAAAGGGGAACGAGATAGAGAGAAAGAAACCCCGAGTACCTGGCCCAGTATCTTTTCCTGATTCCGGCCCCCTCATCTTGGGACCAGACCAACATTGGGCTTGAATCTAT